AATGTATCCCAAATTAGGGGAATATTATCAAATATTGATCAGGCACACAGTACGACTGGTTATGATGGATGAGTTTCCCCATCACCTTAGTCAGTCGAGAGGCTAATGTTTTAGAAAACAGTTTACAGTCAGTACACAGCAGGGAGATCGGGCGCCAGTTTTTCAGGAGAGCCAGATCTCCCTTTTTTGGTTACAGGGTCAGGACGGCTCCCCTACAGCTCTGTGGGAGTGAGTGATCCTTTCCGCAAGCTGTCCTGTATGACCTCTAGCACATCCTGCCCTATCACCTCCCAGAGACCTTTATAGAACTCACAAGGGAGACCATCTATACCTGACGCCCATCCATTCTCCATCCCCTGGAGAGCCTCATAAACCTCCTCGAGCGTCAGCTCTTTTTCCAGCTCTTTGCCTCTGTTGCAGTCAGTTTTGCCAGGTCTATGAGAAAGGAGTCCTCCACTGCCTGTGCTCCAGACCACTCACTGCTGTAGAGTTTCGAATAGAAACTCACTATCTGCTGGCGAATTTCAGCAGGATCAGATACAAGTTCCCCTGATTCTGTTTGCACGGCATGAAAAGTTTTTTCTGTTCATTCTTCTGCTCTAAACTGAAGAATTTTGATGGGGCGTCCATCTCTGCTGCACTCTTAAAGCGTGAGCCGACCAGCGCCCCCCGTGCTGTGATGTCTAATAGATCATTAATTTTTTTTTTTTTTTTTATTTGTATGGCTTCAATACGCCTTACATTCATTTAAGTCACTGGCTTCTGACTGTTGTAGCTCCATTATCTCATCAGCTCTTAGGGACCTGACAATGTCTCTAGTGACATTGAGAGTATACTGTTGACAAAAATCTTTTATTTGAACTTTCGTCACATCCCACCATAACTGTAATGATTTAAAAGCTGCATTTTCAGACCTAAAAACATTCCATAAGAAACTAAAAGACTCTTTAAAATTGTTATCTTCTAAAAGGGCTACATTGAACATCCAGTAGGCACACTGGGCCATTAACACACTGGGCCATACAGTGGTCAGAAAATCCTACTGGAACAATAAAACATTTCTTAAAAAACGTCTGCTGATGTTTAAAAGCATAAAAACGGTCTAGCCTAGCCATAGAGAGCACATTATCTTTGGCATGAACCCATGTGAATTGTCGTTTGTTCTTGTTAAAATACCTCCGTATATCATTTAGCTCATGAGTCTCTATCACCTCTCTCAGATGTTTACGGGAGGCTGTGTGCGGTTCTGCATGGTTTCTATCGATAAAATCTGTTGTGCAGTTAAAATTACCACCAATGATTAGAAACTGAAGTGTCACAACCCTCGATAATATTATTTAATGTTTCTAAAAAGCCAACCTCTCCGCCGCATTGGTGGGAGCGTATACACATATAAAAACCAAAACCTCATTTTCATAAAAAGTCTTCACTTTTAAAAGCCTCCCATTTAAAAACTACTCAACAGCATACGAAACCGGAATAAAACTGCGAGAGAAGAGCAAGGCAACTCCGCCACTTCGTTTTGTGTTATGACTTAAAACAACCAACCCATCCCACTCCTTCACCCAATCAGTGGCATTACTCCTATCACATCAATGTGTTTTTGTCTTAAAAAGTTGAACAGCTTTGCTCTTTTTTCTTGCTCTCTTGCTCTATTAATATTAAGAGTTGCTATGTTGATTCCGGTCATTAAAACCACTCTAATTTTAAAAACCACACACATTAAAATTCTTCAGTGTTGGCCCTTTTCTCTTTTAACTATATTAATTTCCTCAGTCTAAAAACCTCAGGGTCAGTAAAAGTGCCTTTTCTCTTGAAGAAATTAACATAGTTTATAAACTGGTCACTGTTGGGAAAGTATTTCTCAACCACAACATTTCTCAGCCCTTTTGTGTTCTTTAAAAAATCTTTAATCAACTCTGCACTGTACTCACCTGGAAACGTTGAGTCAGACATTTCAGCTTCACTTTCTGTTTCTCTATCAATATTTTCATCCTTTTTGCCTGCTTTTTCCCCTTCTCATTGCTGGGGTTTTTCCCGTTTACCTTGGGTTTTTGCAGCAGGTTCTTTCACCATCTCCACGTCTGCTTTGTCCCTTTGCACCGAGGCGTTCTCCGGCGTCTCCAAACGGTCGCTAGGCGCCTCTAAACCTGCCTCTGCCAGCACAGGTGACCCCCGCACTGCTCCAGAAGTGACAGTGACATTTCATTTCATTTCATTTCATTGAAACATTTCATTTCAGTGTCAGAGAAAGCAAAAAACATTATAAGAATGCCCAACCACAACAAACTTAAAAACCGCATTCACCTCCTCTACACCCTCCTTTAAAACCATAAAAACAACCCTTGTAAAAGATACTACATGTTTAATCAAGGGGGATTTACAGCCAAGGGGGATTTTCTTTAATGGTGAAACAATTCGCCCATATCTGCTTAGTTCCTGGGTAATCTTTTCATCGGGGATGAATGGGGGGACATGGGACATTGGAGAGCAAGATTTTTTCATCGGGGGAACTGAAAGGAGAGACCGCTAAAACACACCATTGACAGCGATGCCTTTCTGGATGAGCATTTGTGCTTTTTCAATGTTGTTCATAAAAATCACGACTGCACTAGTCATTCTCGAAGCTGAAATGATATTTTCATGCCCACCCACAACTCCGACCGCTAGACAAATTTCCTCCACACTTTCATTTGCAACAACTTTGACTCCATGACAGCGTGTCAAACTTTCACACGCCATGATTGCTCACACACTCACACCCACACCCACAAAACACCCCTTTGCTTTCAGCTACAGGGATGTTCGTTGTAGCACACACACAATACGACAATATTAAATAAATTGCCACAAGAAGTTGCGTTTACATCGAACGCGGTTCGTGCGGGTGGTTTCAAAGTTAAGTCAATGCAAAGACGCGTTTGCACGCATCTGAGGCTTCAGCGGCGCGGTAAGCGCGAATTGAGCAGCGCGGTTGCCGCTATAGGCGCGTATTGAACCGCATGAATGAGCAACATGCATGTTGTGAGCCGGACCGGCCGTAGACGGGTGAACAGCGCGCGTACCGCTCGAGTTCAGAAAATTGAACTTCTGCGGATTTTCCGCGCCGCGCTGACCAATCAGCAGCTTGCTGTAGTTGTGACGTGTGCAGCTCGGGGACCGTCTGGAATTAAAACAGTGATGGACTGTGATTAAAACTTTACTTGAACTGCCAGAGCTGTCTGATCATCTTCGTGCTTTTAAAGTTATAGATAATAGTTTATTATAAATGATAATTTAAAAGAATAAAAGTATCTTGCTTGGAAGAAATATATATATTTCTTTCAAGCAAGATACTTGTATTCTTTAAATTATTATTTATAATAATTTAAAAGAATATTCATATTATAATCAAACTAGGTTCTTTTAAGAGAATTAATCATGTGCTCGTTATTTTATTTCAGCCCTCCATTTTCAAGCACGGTATTATTTATGGCAGAAAATATTGGGATCGTATAAAATATGGTCTTTTAAAAAAGTAATAAAATAGATTTATTTTATTCCACTTAGTCACAAAACCACTTGGCAGAGATCTCCCTACGTATGAAGGTTTTGAAAGTAGCTTGACCTGCATGCGAAGATGGTGTGATGAACTAAACATTGCAAAATTATCCATACCCCGGCTGGGATGTGGATTGGACAAACTGGATTAGTACAAAGTACTGAAAAAACCTTTAAAGTTTCTGATATACCGTATTTTTCGCCGTATAAGACGCACTTTTTCTTCCCCAAAATTGAGGGGGAAAAGTTTGTGCGTCTTATACGGCAAATGCAGAGCGCCGCAGAGCGGAGGGCGGTCACGGCCGTAGGAGAGGTGTAAGAGCAGCCGCGGCTTGAGCCTAGCTCCTGTTATGGTAAAAAATATACCTTCTCAAATGATAATAAAACACTGGAGACCGTTTGATTTATTGTAAAGATTTAGCAGTCTCAACGCATTTCCTACACACGTGTTATCCGCATTGGAAAAGAACCTCGAGCCTCTCAAAGTAAGACAAGCGCTGGAAGAAGGGCGGGAATGAAGTATGACGTGTCTCTTGAAAGTTTCTCAAATTACATTTCTCTAAATGACCACTTGATGGTAGTATTATATGGGAAAAACCCATCACACTCCGGCCATATTTGTACACCCGGCGGTGCGCGCTGATCTCTGTTCGACGATGCAACCATAGCGCGGATCGTAAGGAGCAGGTATGGAACATTACAGCCTTTTTTGTTACTTTTACTGTTTACTGACTGTATATGTTACATGTTTGGCATATAATTGTTCTTAAACTGCTGTTAACTTCTACACAGTTGATATAAAATATTTTACTAGAGTATTTGGTTCAGAATCTTTTTTTTCTAGATCTTCCTCATTTAAAATTCTGTGCGTCTTATATGCCAGTGCAATATACACTGGATACTTATACTGTGAAAATATGGTAATCATTTCCATCTATTCCATCTTGGGGTGAACTTTTATTATTCATTTATTAGTACTATTTAGAGTGTTTTGAGTATTTTTTTTTTGCTTACAGTTTTCTTATAGGTTTTTTGAGAATTTTGTGCTTACAATTTTTGCTTACAGGGTTTTTGAACACTTTCTTACATAACGCTTATTTCTGCTTACAGGTTCTTGACAGGTTTTTGAACATTTTAGTTTTCTTACAGGTTTTTGCTATTTTTCTCTTTACCAAGGGAAGGCTTACTCTATCAAAGATGGCATGGAGGAGGTCTTGTGAAAGTGACTTTACGACCAAGTATGGAGTGACCCATACAAGGAATTTGTGCTCTGCATTTAACCCATCCAAGTGCACACACACACAGCAGTGAATAAACACACCGTGAACACACACCGGGAGCAGTGGGCAGCCATGGCTCTGGCGCCCGGGGAGCTGTGGTAACTGGTGACTTGCTCAAGGTCACCACAGTAATGGTTGTCTCAGGAGGGAGAGAGTTTCAACACTCATCCCACCTTCGAATCCTAGTGGAGCTGGGGATCGAACCAGCGATCACCCTATCCAGTCAATCACCCTATCCACTAGGCCACACTAGTGGAGGAGGGTCTAACAATGCTCCACCAAGAGCATGGCCACCAGGGGGTGCAGAGAACCTTGGCCCTGTTGCGTACCAGATGTTATTGGCTGGGTATTTCCAAAGAGGTTGCAGTTTTGTGTTTAAAGTACCAGAGGTGTCTGCTGGCTAAGGGAAATTATCACCCCGCCAAGGCCTTTATGGTTCACCTTCTCACATCATGGCCTAATGATATTTTAGCACTTGACTTTACACTCCAGGAACCAGCTCATAACGGTATTGAGAATGTCTTGGTGTTGACAGATGTTTTAAGTAAGTATACGCTGGCATTCCTACCCGTGACCAGCTTGCTACTACAGTGGCTCAAATCTTGGCAGCAGAGTGGTTTTGCAAGTTTGGAATCCCCGTCCGAATTCATTCGGACCAGGGACGGAATTTTGAGAGTGCACTTATTTCCCAGCTTTGCCACGTATACAGATGTCTCAGTGGACTTGTTGTGGTTGCCAACTAGAGGACCGACTTAGCGTCTTTCCCCACTGGGGTTTTCGGCCAGTCCTGCTGAGGCACACTGATACAGTAGTAGGAAGTAGTGGAAATCCCTTAAGATAGCCACGCATTAAGATATTTGGTTTGACATGTTTAACTTTAAGGTTTAACTTCGTTGTGTGTGGCCTCTTTCAGAGGCCAAGAGAGGGATTTGTGGTATTATTCAATAATTAAAATATGCGTTTGTGTAGAGGACTTTTGAAACTCACAAATATTGCTTGAACAGGCTATCATATTGTGAGTGAACAGAGCATCCTGTTTCAACATCCTGTTTCGAAAACAGCTTAAACAACCTATGTATAAATAGTGGTAACTTTTACAGAGGAGTAAGAAGATCTTGGGGCTTCTCCAGCGTGCTTTTCTTTGATGCTTTCGTTTTTTTTCTCCTGTTAAGCTAAATAAACTCCTGATCATTTTTGAACACATTTTGGATGCCTCCTAAAACAAGGTCCAACTTTCTTAGCTCTGTCTAAGAAAACCACATCTTGTCGAGGGAGGCCTGATGACATCATAGCCTGCTGGATAGAGAGGAGTGACTCACCAGTCATCATAGAAAGAAAAAAACAACAAAGACATTAAATGATACGTTTATTCATAAATAAATTATATATTTATTCATAATGTGTACTTTACAGTTACTTTTTTTATTAAGTCGCTGAAATGTTGTGCAGTGAGGCAGCAGCCGCCGAGCCTTGCCATCGATGCACAGTCACTGCAATTACTGTCTCTTTGTACCCCGAAAATAAATTGTTCTACCATTTGTACTATGCACAGTGCTTTTTTTAGATACATAATTCAAACAATGTGTGAATCAATAAACAATGTTTTTTGTATTGAGCGATGCAGAGAAAAACTGTACGCGAGGCACGCAGCTCTTCTGCATCAAGCTAGGGGGCGCTGGTGATCCCAGAGGTGCTTCAGATTAATAGAATTAGCATTCATTCTCTGAATAAAAGTGTGAATCATGAGAACTGAACAAGTGCGGCAATGTCTCTGTTTCACTTAATCTGGGTTTTTTCGTGTTACTTCAGTTTTCATCCGTTTCTGTGTAATTATTGTTTTCCTGTCCCTTTGCGTTCGTGTGCATTGCAGAGATCTTTATGTAGAAACCGTGTATGTGACTGGTACGGCGCTGGGCACTGTGTGGGCACCTTTTCTCTTCCATGCATGCCTGGGATCATAGTCCAGCATCTGCGGAATATAAGCTTCAAATCCAGTTCTTGAAGAGTGTGTTTGTTAAGACGGCATCCTAAACTCCACTGGTCATTACAATATGTAAATCTGACCTCATGAACCTCACCTCACCACATGGACGTCACAGCTGCTGGTTTTTTACGGTCATTTTAAAAAAGTACAGTGCCATTTTTAATTGCTGATATGAAATGTTAAATGTCACTTTAATAAGAACTTTAATTTAAAGTTACATTTGTTCGGAGTCTTGACCCTTTTTCAATGATCCTGAGCTCCTGCTGACACCCTCCTTTGCACCCAGTGTCACAACACCTTTGATTAGCAGACATTATATACGGTGTTTGTACATGGTGGGTGCAGTAACAATGAACTCTTGGCTTGTGACACCATACACAGAGTGATATGAATAGAGTTCTTTTTAAAAAGCAAAAAATTCTTTATGAGGGCTGGACAGACAATAATAAACCCCAACTCATGGAAAAGTGCCTCTGAGGTCCCATTACAGTGAGCCTTTGAACATTTTACAGCCACTGTTTGGATAACGAACTGTTAGCTTCGCAAATATGGAAATCCACAAAAGTTGGCAAACACACTGCCGTCCAGTCGGTGGGTTTTGCTGGTTCCTTGAGGCCAGGTGGTGGCCTGTTCAGCTGTTACAGTAGGAATGGATGTACATCTGCCTTAGATGATCTGAAGAGCAGATGTAAAAACAAGTGCCTCCATTAACTCCTCATTGTAGTTTTTGGTCCTTTGTCTTTGGTCTGAAAGAAAAGAAAAAGGAGACTGTTGAGTTTACACATATTGTAATTCGCTTTTCAGATACGTAACAAATCACATCGGGGGTTTTAAACGGATTAGAATAAGCTCTGTTCAACTCTGACCTTTTATCAGCAATAGGTGATGTTTATTCAGATGATGCAGATGAAATCACGACCATCTCTAAGACGGATCTTGTTTAAGGAATCTGATCACTGCCCCCCCGGGAAGCATTAGGATCTAAGGGCCCCTTGTGTACAGCGGGTTTCACATAGAGATCACTCTATTTTAACGTCATAACAAAGTGTTTAGGGAGTGTGTTGAAAATGTAATGACTCAGCATATTTAAAACCCGCCACAATATGATCCACCAATCCTGAGATCTCTCATTACCCAGCTGTTCCTCTGAATCGTTGAGGCCATAATAATAGAAACACATGTGCAGGTTGCGCTATTGACCCCTTTCCTGCCTCAAAATGGGATTGTTGTTTAATGACGAAACCTGTTCACTGCCACAAATGTTAAAAAGCTGTGGCAACAGGTCTGAGGAAATTGTAGTTTGTGAAATGTTTCGTAAGGTCAAATGCACCTTTGTAAGTCTTCCCCAAAATAAGTCACTGGAAAGTTTTCATTCGCTGGTTCCCTCTCTAGCAAACCTCGGCTTAAGGCAGGGTACACCCTGGACGGTCGCAAGTCCATCACGGGGCAACACATGTATTCAGGGGAATTTACAGAATTCAATGAACCTGATGCATATTTTTAGTCTTACGGGGGAAAAGGAGTATCTGGAGGAGCCGCAAGCTTGGGAAGAACTCCTCTCAGGCCTCGAACCAGTGACCTTCTTATCGAACGGCTGAAGTGCTACCCGCTGTGCCACCGTGCCGACAACTATTACAGACTTTCAATTATTGTTAGGTTCAAATGTATTTTGTTCTTCTTTTTTCTTTCCATTTGTGTGTTCTGCCTTTTCCTTCCCAGGGTTCATTTATTCACTCGCCGGTTCTTTCTACCCGTTAGCATCTGCGTGCGCTCACCTGTTCTTACGGCCAATAATAATGCTTCCTTTATTTGGCTGCCTCGGCTCTTAAGGATCCACTCGATTATTGGCATCACTCATGCAACAGTGAGCTCTTGTTCTGGTCCTGTTTTGTCTGGTTTTCCTCTTTATTCAGTGTTTATCAAGCTGGCCGTGGCTGATGGAGGTAGAGGTTATTCTGAGAACTCCCCAAGGGTATTTTGTGTCAATTAAGAGCCTTATCTTTATTAGTCCATTTCCTTTTTTGATCTTTTCAATGTTATTTTAAAATGTTTTGAGGATTGTCGCCTGTTGAATCTTGAGAAATTGAGATCAGGGTGGAGCCTGATGTAGGAACACATACGGTCAGTGCTTGCTCTTCCTAGGGTTTGAACGCACAATCTTTGCGTTGCTAGCACCACAGGAAAGTGGCATTCCAGTGGCTTGCTCGTTTGGATGTCTTGCTGATTTTGGCTGAGAATTGCCCATTTGCAGGAGGTGGTGACACATCGTCCAAATCTTACAGTCTACGTTACAGACCATCTGATGAAATAATATTTAAGGCCACTCAAAAGTGGCTTTATTATTCTAGTTAATGTATGAAACTCTGAAGGAAAGCATGAACCTGGAGTGTGTTCATGAAACCGGAGTTGTAAAGAGTCTGTTCAGGATTAGCCGTCGTAATGATGACGAGGGTGTTGAAGGCTCGGGACATTTGTGAACAGCGCAGGAAGACTTTCAGGTTGTCAGGGGAGAACACCAGATGTTTCTAGCTCTGCACAAACACAGCAGACCGTGTTTACACACTGGACTTCTCTAGAAGTTCCATCCAGCTACGATTTTCTGTTAATCTTAGATTGTTCAGCATTTCGAAACGGCAGACGTTAAGAGCTGTCAATGTCTCTAAACATTTCTACAGCAGAGATCCACTAATAAGTTACATATAAACACCTGCTCATCCTCTGCACACCTCTGCTTTCTCTCCCCTTTGTGTTGCCCTGTGATGGACTGGCTGCCTGTCAAGGGTGTACCCCGCACCGGCAGCCCCCCGTCACCCCGAAAGGGAATTAGCAGGTTAGAAGATGAATGAATGAATGAACTATTTTATTTTTTCTTCACTCTTTCTGAAATGTTGATTTGAAGTGTCCAGAGATTGTATTGTTTCTTGAGATCTTGTATGTAGGAAAAATAAACAAAACCCTATTATACTTTAGCAGAGGTGTCGATATCTATTACCAGAGCCGTGAGGTTTGAGGCAGGGGAGCTGTGTGCCTCACATCTATTCACCTATAGTCACCATTGTATGAATGAAAGAGACTTCGATGGGAAGAAACCCAGAAATAGGTTTTTAAATGAAAAAAAGTAAAATCATGTCTTACAGTTGTGTATGTTCCTACTTCAACGCTATATATACACACGTGGACAAAATAGTTGGAACCCCTCAGTTAAAGAAGGACAAACCCACAATTCTCCCTGAAATCACTTGAAACTTACAAAAGTAAGAATAAATGAAA